TTACATTGTCTGACCATTAAACTCAGGGTCTCTCATCTTTATTATTTTGTCCTGTTTTTACCCAAGGAGCTATTATGCTGTCATGCAGTTAGGAGGTAATTATACATTTATTAATCAAATATTTGTTAATGCTAGCAGAGGAACTAGTGTCAGGACAGTAAAAGGAGTTAATAAAAACCCAAACAGCTATTCCCCAACTATCCCCTCAAATTACCTTTCAAATATAGTGCAACCCAATTGTATAAGTGTATATGAATTAGGATTGACTTCATTATAACCAGAGTCAAATGGGTAAAGCCCACACATTTTGTCTACTATGAGTTTATTTGTGAAGTTCCCAAAGCATCTCCAACATGTCTACAAAGATTAGTCCCATTCTGTAATCTTTTTTTTTTTTTTTAGTCACTGTAGTGAAGAAATGGGGTTGGTATTGGATTGATATGGAAAATGAACGAACTGCAGTATCTTTGAGTACTAAAATACTTAAAATATATCATAGTTATCTGTTCAAAGCCCTCCTCTTTACTTTGGGGCCATTTCAATTGTTGGGAAGAAGATTTCAGCTGTTGTCTATGGCCCATCAGATTTTAACCAGACGTTAATCAAAGGGGAACCTTATAACCTTCACTAAAAAAAAAAAAAAAAAAAAAAAAAAAACAAGCAATTCAAATCCATTGCTATCCTAGCCAGCTGGCTACTTTGCTCTTATGTAAGTGCTTTTTATTGATATAGCTTATAGAAAAAATACCTAAGAAATTTGAAAACTTAACTGCTGGGTTTATTTTTGCTCTTCAGCTTTCTTACCAGTGAATTATTGCAAGCCTTACATTTGCCAATTTGCTAAAATGAACCAAGCACTAATACTTTTCATATTATTTAAAAGAACCTTGACTAAGATAGCTGGGAAACCACAAATACAGGAGGTAAAAGATCTAAGTCCTTGTACAATTATATCCACTAAACGAAGGCATTAAGCAAAATAGTATTTCTCAAAATATCACAAAAATAAATTGTTATAGAGAAAAAAGCAGGGGAATCAGTGAGTGATAAAAAAAGCTTTTGGGAAGCAATGAGTTAAAAAAAAGTTAAGCAGTTTTTAAGTACAGAACTTCTCAGTATTTTTTTTAAGTAAAACTGAGCAAAGAGGTATCACCTTACAGCTATTCTTGCCTATCTTATTTGGAATGGATATCAGAATTAAGAAAGCTTTATGAAACAACATCCTGTACAAGGAGATTTTTAAATTAACAGAAGGACTTACACAACTATAATATTTAATAATTTATTTATTTATTTAGTGCAACAGAAGGACTTACACAACTCTTTTATTTATTTATGCATTTATGTATTTATTTATTTGCTTACTTACTTACTTACTTATTTTTAGTGTGAACAGGGAAGAGGGTCAGAAGGAGAGAGAGAGAATCCCAAGCAGGCTTCACACTGACCATGGAGCCTAACATGGGCTCCATCCCACAACCCTGCGACCATGACCTGAGCCGAAATCAAGAGCAGGACACTCATATGATATTTGCCATATGAGAAATTTAAGATACAAAACAGGTGAACATAAGGGAAGGGAAGCAAAAATAATATAAAAACAGGGAGGAGGACAAAACATCAGAGACTCTTAGATATGGACAACAAACAGAGGGTTACTGGAGGGGTTGTGGGAGGGGGGATGGTCTAAATGCATAAGGGGCATTAAGGAATCTACTCCTGAAATCATTGTTGCATCATATGCTAACTTGGAGGGAAATTAAACAATAAATAAATTAAAGGAAATGTCAAATAAAAAAAAAAAAAGGGTTGGACACTCAACCTATTGAGCCACCCAGGTGCACTTGCATTTTTAAAGTTATATACATCCTTAGGGGCGCCTGGGTGGCGCAGTCAGTTCAGCGTCCGACTTCAGCCAGGTCACGATCTCGCGGTCCGTGAGTTCGAGCCCCGCGTCAGGCTCTGGGCTGATGGCTCAGAGCCTGGAGCCTGTTTCCAATTCTGTGTCTCCCTCTCTCTATGCCCCTCCCCCGTTCATGCTCTGTCTCTCTCTGTCCCAAAAATAAATAAACGTTGAAAAAAAATTTTTTTTAAAGTTATATACATCCTGATTCACTTCCTGAACACAGAATTTTAAAAGAGCTTTGGACTTATCTATAATAAAAGACAAATCCCTCTCTCTGTTGATAGCAGGATTTTCCCTAGGACTTTATTGGTATTTAATATATACAAGTGACTAAAGTGGTTTTTGTATTCCTTAAATTATATAATTCTTTCACAAACCTCTTAGGCAATTCTCAGAAGCTGAATCTAATGAATGGAGACAATTTATTTCTGGTGCAACATGTCATTATTTGATCTAATTTAAAGATTAGTGCCATTGTTGTTTTTATGTTGTCTTTCCCTTGACACAGCACAGCTAATGAAGTGAATAAAAACGTCAATATGTCATTTTTTAATGTTTAAATGTTTATGTTAAGTGTTCGTGTTTTCATACACCTGGCATCTGTTTGTTAATTTTAGGATAGTGATTCGCTAACTTGAGCACACACAAGAATCTCCTGGAGGGCCTGCTGGAGCTCAGATTGCTGGGCCCACCCCAGTGCTTCCTACTCAGTAAGTCTTGGATAGAGCTGATCTGCATTTCTATCAAGTCCCAAGTGCTGCTGATGCTGCTGACGCAGTTACCACACGTTAAGACCTGCTGCTTTCACAGGCCTCAATTTATTAGACACACATCTGGGTTTTTCTGTTGCTCTGAGGCTCCTCAGCCAGGCCCCAATCTGGAGTCTTAAAGGAGTCGGAGAGTTATCCCAACTGTCTCCAAAATAAGGCACCTTTGTATTGATCCCACAATCTCATTTCCTAAAGACCAATAGACTCTCCCCTTCCTTTAATATTCTCCACTGTCTGCTAAGAATGTGCAGGTCATTAGTCTCAAAATGTAGTCCACACTGTAGATTTTTCCCCCTCAAATCACTGCTCCCTGTATTTCTACATAACCCATTCCCTCTCTTATACGATATCCTTGCAGTATGTTGGGTCTTTCCTGGCCTCATTTGCCTGTGTACCTAGTTGGACTCTATTGCTAGTCTATATGAATGTAGAGCTTATATTCATTCCTTGGTTCATTCACTCCATAGCATTTGTTAAAGGCTCAAAGTGTAATGATGACAAAATTCTGCATTCATGCACTTACACTGGAATGCGGAATATATAAGACAAACGCGTATACAACTAAGTATGATATAAAGACGGGATGTGTACACTGAAGAAAATAATATAAGGTCACAGGTAAGAAAGTGACTGGAAATCAAATGCATTCTAGCCTCTGTGGAATCATTTTTCTGAGAAGGAAACATAAAGCTGAACTGAAATATCGTGATGGAGAACACAATGTAGAGAATGTAGAAAAGGGCATTCCAGGCGGAGGAAGCATCAATTCAAGGGCAGAAAGAAGTCCAGGGTTGTTGAAGGAGTCAGCAAGGGAAAATGGTTGAGGAGTTCAGGTTAGGGGTAGGGAAACAAAAATTGTTCATACTGCTTTTGTAACCACATGATTCTCTCACACACAGCTGGTATGCAGACTAGGAGACTAGGATATATATATCCTGGGGGAAACTGCCCTCTGGCCAACAGGAGTTAAAATATCAACAGCATCATTTAAAGAGTATTCAGAACCCCAAATCCCCTCCTTGCCTCAGCTCTGTAAATGGCTGCCATGTCGATTCTCACTCCAGCAGATGTCTGAGGTTTTATTCTCTGGAGAGGTCTCTGATCTACGGATGCCAGGCACATATCCAAACCCCTAACTCATACCCTCCAGCCTAACCCTAGCTGTAACCCCCTGGACAGGTCTCTGAACTGCAGGATACCAGGCACATACCCTCAACCTCACCCTCACGCAGATCTTAGAAAGCAGCTTTCTGAACACATGGTAAGAAAAGCTGAGAAGCAGCCAACTTAACCCAGAGAAGACCCCCAAATATGTAACAAGTGATGGTATTTCTGAAAATGGGTGTGACGGCAGGATTAAAAACAGAAGGACCAACTGAATATCTATTTAAAGCATATTGAGAGCCCTCAACCCATCCCCCCGCCAATATATCAACACCATTTGAGTGAGGAGAAACTGACGACTAATATCAGAATCTAGCCTCTAGAGTTGGCTATGTTGAAATGCACAATGAATTGTACACAGTTCTTATTTCAGAATGCAGATACATGAAGCCACAACCCTTTGTCTTCATAAATGCTGACTTTAGTAAAGAACCACTCTAGGTATTGATATATCATAGTTTTGGAAACGACAATCCCTTCCTGACGAATGAAGTCAAAATTCTGAATGATGAGAGGGAAAAATCAGGTCAGAAGTATACCTTACAATAGTATTTTACAAGAACAAGATTCTTTAACAGCAGTGATTGTGATCAAAGTGACAAAACAACTCCTGGCAAAATAATAACTAGCACATGCATCAAACACACACACACACACACACACACACACACACACACACCTTTAAACAATCTGAAACAATTACAACACAGAAATTAGCCTAAAGCAAGAGTTTTATGCTTTCAACAAACCCCTCAAGAAAAGCATCCTGTTTATTGTACCTGATAATTTGAATTATGTTTCAATCTTTGTATCATTAGCCTCCAGGTAAATCTGAGAATATCTGAACTGAAAGGAACTTATTAGCCAGGGTTCTTTTCAAGTAAAGAATGTAAGTCTATGTTTACAATTTTGCTTTTACGGATATTAAAATTTGCCACCATGTAAACTGAAATTTGTTCGATATTCTCACCAGTGCAATTGTTTTAAGTATACAGGACTAAACAAGTCTTGTAAGAAAACCCACCTTAGTTTTTAAAATATTCCAAAACGACTATTAGATAAATATTAGAAGTCCTTTCATTTATACTGTAAAACTTCTCAGATCTCACTCAGGAAATTGCTTTATGCACTTCTCACCATCACATTACTGACACCATTACCTGTCGGCATCCACTGTCACATCGTGAACCCCTCTTTGGATGACATCCCTGGAAGTCGCTGTGTCAGGTATTCGGTTCAGACTTCTAGTATATAGGTTGAGCCCTCCATCTGTCATGTACCTGAAAACAAATGTGTCATTAATCAACAGAAAATTAAATGATCTCATCTGTATAATTTAGTTTCATAAAAAGTATTCACAATTTTCAATAATTATGTAAATGTGCCCTATCACAGTTTTTTCTATATAAACATTTTACCCACCAGGAAAAGTTAGAGCATCTTTTCAAGTTTATTAGGAAACCAATCTTACTTGCTACACCAAATAACTAGCCTATGTAAAACCTCCATTTATTTCCCTTTGGTTATCAAAATTTTAAACAAGCTTGGAGATAATATAACTCTTAGCAAAGTAAGAGCAAGATCATTTCATCTTGTAAATCTCATTTTTGAAGATTGAAGGTCATAGGAGTAATGTAATATTATTAAACTTAAAATTAGATGAATTTTTTTGATAAGTAAAATGTATGCTACCAATCGGCCACTATGATAAAATAATAGCCTAGATGCATTGTTTAAAATGTTTCCATGAACTGTTCTAAATAGTTTACATGTAATAACATTACGACTGTCCCATTAGAGATAAAATGAGTGAACATGAGAAGGTTAAGTCACCCAGTGTTCCTCAACCAGTCGTAGCAGAATTAAGAAATCAATCTAGGAATGATCTGAACCATCATGCATTACTGTCTGAACTGAAGGGCCACACTGCCCCACTTCATACCTTTGAGAGATACTTCCCTGTCATCATGGGACCATCACCATTGCCCAGGGATGGTCATGTTACTAATGGTCATCTTCCTTCCTTGGCTATGGAGGATTAGAACACATTGTTTATATAGCCTCATGCTGGGCTATATATCAAATTTTTCTTTCTTGAGAACTAGGATTAAAAGATAGGTCATCAGTCTTTCTATGCGAATAGAGGTGATGATCATGAAAACTAAGGAGATGTATTTATTTCCACAAGATGTAAGGAGTCACAGAGAAAGTTGGTCAGCAAAGTAAAAACAATGGCACAGATGCACAAGAGGAAGCAGACACTTGGCCATGTGGTTTCAACTTGTCCTTGGGTTCTAGGAGATAACCTTCTTTACAATCATGTTCCCAATCTGTTTAAGCAAATTGGAGTCAATTTCACTTTTTGGAATAAAAAAATATTCAATCACGGCCATATTGAAGACTGACCAAATAGTTAAAGCTAGGATTATCAAACTGGCGAATTGCTTCGATGATTATGAATTCTGCCCTTACTAGTTGAAGGGCCTTGAACAAGTTTCTTAACCTGTGCCTCAATTTCTTCCACTGAATTTGGGAAGAATAAAATCTGCAGATAGATTTTTAAGAAAATTAAAGGAAGAATACCCAAAGCTCTTACTATGAGAGCCCTATAACTAGTAGCCACTTGTGATTCACAAAGTCTCTCCCACATATTTTGAAAAGGAAATATATGCATTTTATTTACAAAACAACACTAAGTCATTCTGAATTATCCTTATAAGATAATATAGGTAATAAGGTAAAAGTGTTTAGTTAGTGGCAAATATTTTTCTCTTTCAAAATTGTGTTGTAAAAGTTTGAGGGAAGGGGCACTTGGGTCGCTCAGTGGTTAAATAGCCAACTCTTAATTTTGGCTCAGGTCATGATCTCACCATCCTGAAATTGAGCCCTGCATCAAGCCTCACATCAGGTTCCTCATGAGGCTCTGCACTGGGTGTGGAGCCTGTTTAAGATGCTCTCTGTCTCTCTCTGTCTCTCTCTCTCTCTCTCTCTCTGCCCCATCCCTGCTCTTGGGTGTGTGAATGCATACACATCCTCTCCCTCTCTGAAAAATAAAAAATAAACAAAAGGTTGAGGGTAGTAGAAATCTTCTCTCCAGACAAGTGAGACACTCTTTTTCTTCTTCTTCTTCATTTTCTTTTTTACCAACATGCTTAATCCTAAACTTAGTTTCTGGAGGAAGTTATAACAATGTACACAAGTTATGTTTCATGTATGTCTCACTGGTCTGCTTATTCATTTGTGTATCTCCAACAGTGTTTAGCACAATGTTTTGTATATCATTTGGGATCAACAAATATATCGAACATTTGTTCAGCTGAACTTAAAAGGCTTCCATATTGTAAAAAGAAAGCATCATAGCAGATCTTGGGGCAACTTTACCCATGATGGTGATGCATGGAAACAAGAAATAAGATGACAGATCACTTCTATTAGAAACATAACCTTTCAATTATTTAATACTTACAGAAAAGTAAGTTCTATAGACAAAGGTCAACTGCTTTGAAAACCAATTTGCAAAAGGAAAAAAATGTTTAAAACTTCAATAAATTTACTAAAATCTTTTTTCAAGAAGTATTTTAAAGGATATTCCTTTTTCTTGGGCTCCTCGATTTTCCAAGTAATATCAAATAGGTTTCCAACAGGTATCAATTAAAACAAAAAAATGAGTCAGTTCTAATTCCTCTGTCTACAGATACTCTCATTTGAATGTTGATAGGGCATCTTCATAATAGAACCATGAGTTTATTATTTATTTTTTTAATGTTTATTTTTGAGAGAGAGAGAGAGAGAAAGAGAGAGAGAGAGAAAGAGAGAGAGAGGAGGGGCAGACAGAGGGAGACAGAATCCAAAGAAGACTCCAGGCTCTGAGATGTCAGCACAGACCCTGATGCAGGGGCTCGAGCCCACGAACTGTGAGATCATGACTTGAGCTGAAGTCGGACACTCAATTGGCTGAGCCACCCAGGCATCCCACCATGAGTTTGTTATTTAAAAAACAACATACAGGCACCACACAAGACAAATTTCTGATTTAAATTATCTTGGTAATTCTTCCTTCTTTTCATTCTTTCTAGAGGATTTAAAAATCTAAAAGAACATGAATTTTATAGTTCCTCTACAAGAATTATGCTATAGTCTTGGGAGCTATAAATGTTAGGGAATCATTTTGAAAGAATAATGTAAAATTTGAAAAATGATTTCCTAAGAACATTATATCTAAACTGCAAAACTGACAGCCAAGATGAGTTTAAGAAGAGATAACAATCACAGGGAAGATTGTTAGCACAAAAAAACTGCAAAAGAATCGTGAAGGTTACTGACAAAAAAAATAAATTATCTCAAAATGTGAAAGTATTAGAATAATTTTAGTCACATTCAAATTCTATAAGCTATGAGGGGTGCCTGGGTGGCTCAGTCGGTTAAGTGTCAGATTTCAGCTCAGGTCATGATCTCATGACTCATGAGTTCGAGCCCTGTGTCAGACCCTATGCCAACAGCTCAGGGCCTGGAGCCTGAGCTTTGGATTCTGTGTCTCCCTCTCTTCTCTCTCTGCCCCTCCCCTGCTCACACTCATCTCTCTCTCTCTCTCCCCCTCACAAATAAATGAACATTAATTTTTTTTTAATAAAAAAATATTCACATGAAAAAATAGTCTCACAATTTTTTTTTTTGTGTGAGAATTTTTCCTAATTCTTCCTCACTTACACTGCTACTCTGCTTCTTTCTGTACAGGCAAATTTGCATACTTATGGCATATTTGCCTTAGGTGTCTATTACCTAAATTAGTATTTCTAGCCCATATCGTTTCACCTTGTTGTAAAATAAGGTATTAAATTGCTTCCAAGGCATGGATAGGTGGATGTCTCATAAGCATCTCAAATCTAGTATAAACTGACCATATGTTATCTTCATCACTAAGGCTCGTGTTCCTTGTGTGTGTGTTAGTATAGTTAAAGGCAAAGACACCGTCTACCCAATCAACAATATAGATACGTGCTGCTCGTCACTCACCACACTCAGCTATTACAAGATGGAGTCTGTTCAAATCTGTGAATCAGTATCATTATGCTCTAATTATGTCTGGAATTCACTGCAATAGAGAAACTTTGGAAAAATCTTATTTTTCTAAATTTGTTTATTTTGAGAAAGAGAGACAGAACAGGGAAAGAGCAGAGAGAGAGGGAGAGAGAGAGAATTCCAAGTGGGCTCTGCACGGATATCACAAAGCATGAGATCATGACCTGAGCCGAAACCGACTCAGACACTTGACTGACTGAGCTACCCAGGCTCCCCTAAAAATCTTATTTTTTATATTGTTTAATCCTACTTTCATTTCTCAATGAACAGAAAGATATACAATTGTACCATCATAGCAATTTCATGCTTTTTGAAAAAAAATTTAGAGGGAGATATATACTTTTTCAGATATATAAGGTATAAAAATACATATCAAAATAATAATAAAAATAATATCAACTTTCATGTACTTACTACCTGGCTTCAGAAATAGGACATTTACAGTTTTTGCAATGGCCATATAGCCTCCCACCCCTCATATCCCCAAACCTCCCCTTCAGAGATAACTAATGTCCTGGATTTTGTAAGCATTCCTTTACTTATATCTTTGCCACATAGGCATGTATCCTTAAAACTAAATTGTTTAGCATCTCCTGGATTTGAACTTCCTATATATTGAGCCACACTACATGTTTTCTTGTGACTTCTTTCCTTCACTCAAAATTACATTTTTATAATCAGCTATTCTCATGTGTATCATTGTCTTATCCATTTTATTTTTAATTTTTCAATGGTTTTTATTTATTTTTGAGAGGGGGAGAGAGAGAGAGAGAGAGAGAGAGAGAGACAGAGAGAGAGACAGAGTATGAGTGGGGAGGGGCAGAGAGAGAGGGAGACACAGAATCAGAAGCAGGCTCCAGGCTCTGAGCTGTCAGCACAGAGCCTGATATGGGGCTCGAACTCACAACACCATGAGATTATGACCTGACCCGAAACTGAGACTCAACGCTTAACCGACTGAGCCACCCAGACGCCCCTGTCATCATCTTTTATGTATAAACAATAATTATGATTTTGCTTTGCGGTTTAGTTGCTTTTTCTGTTTTTGTGGGGATTTGGCAAAATTCAAAACCGATAATGCACCACAACTTACTAGAATTCTGTGTTTTTACATTCGAATTTCTTATCAGCGACTGCTACAATGAACTACTTTTTAATGACATGAACATGCGAGGCATCTAAAGTTTTTGGATTTGTTTTT